AAAAGGAAACCCTTACATACATACACTCAAACAATATTCATAATACTTACCTAGACTTCACCTCCTTATATCTAACTGAGCATACTTTGTAATAACTCTGGATAATGGCAACATGACATTTAGTTTTGTCACTGTCAATTTGATGATTTATCATAAATCCTTCAAAAGAAAAAATATACTATGCAGAGTAAAACCCAATGCATAGACTTCTACATCCTTGTGCTATGCCATATTTCCCTTGCAATTAATGTCAGCCTGCAAGGATAGCATTGTCTGGACTCCCAAAACTATAAATTGTAGAAAACAAGCAGATTATGTGGAGGTGTGAAAACCTAGAATGAAAGTTTGAAATAAGTCCAAAATAGAAAAGACTGTTTTGTTTTTGAATTCAAAGTTGGAGCTTTTCTATTAAAACCTTTTCTATTATATTTATGCAATTTGTTTATTTGTTGTCCCTGAAAGTCTTACGAAATTCTTAGTATCCCAAAGTTACGAATCAGAACCCAAGATGATTACACAGGAAAAACAAAATTGTTAAATTTTACTTTCTACCTGCATAACACAAATATTCAGCACGGAGGACTAAAATTCATTAAGAGTTTAAAATCAGATCAAATACAATTTATTATAGTCTTGCCATCTCTAGATTGCAGTGTCTGGAGTTTTAATAAAGAAGACACTAGTATCTTGCTTTGAAGGAGATTTTCTTGGTAAGAAATAAAGGTGATACATTTAATATTTTAATACGTCAATTTGAACCGTATTACGAGTATTTCCCAGTTAAAGACTTGCTGTAAACAGCTGTCTTGTGTTGCAGAGGTACAGGTCTTTATTATAAACCTACCATAAGTGACCTAACCAATTGCCCAGTAAAAAGAGGTGGTTTGTGACAGCGTCCTGTTATCTTCCTTAGACAAAAAGACAGCTTCACTGAGACATGGACTTCATTAATATTTGTGACATTTTAGAATTCAAAGACACTGTTTTTTTAAAGGTCCTGAAAAGAACATCCTAAGTTCATGAAAGCAAACATAGAGGTACTAATTTGGTTTAAAGAGAAGGTGTTTGTGTAGCTGGATAATAGAGTGCATGTTTACATGTCTGGGGGGGATTTATGTGTTTCCGCTCACCTTGTTTGAGACAATGAGCTCAATGTGACCTGTGCATCACTGGCACCATAGTTTAAGATCATATGCATTGATTTAAAAGAAGGTGCAAATGCTTTACTTGCAATCAAAGGGAAATGTATCTAAGCTTATTAGGACAAACAGGTAATTTTCTTTGACATGATTTGATTTTTCTAAAACTTGGTTTGTAAACCTGTAAATATGTTCTAAGAGTCTTGTTAAATTTACTTCAAAGGTATTTCAGACAGCAGTCTTAGCAGAAATATTTTGCATTTCAGTAACATTTTTGCATTTCATTTCAACAATGCTTGTTGGTTTCTTTTCTGCATAACTCCTATGACTCCTTTCTTTAAATTATGATTTAATTTATACAAAAGAATATTATTCTTTTAGTCCATAACTATTACCCAATAATGACTTTTGCAAAATGAATACTTATGGAAGTGCTGATTTGACTGTCTTAAGTACTGTAGCATTTAAAAGGAAACAAAAACTGTTTCTACCAGATATTATTGTCCATATTTAGTTAAGCCAGCACTGTGTTTACCAACTCTGCAAATGACAAGGATTATGTTAAAATTAATATAAATTCCTCTGACTTCTGGAGAACATGCAGTGTGTCATCTCTTACAGTCAATGACTCAGTACAATAGCTGTGCAAGTGAGTAACATGGTCTCCTCCAGCCTCAAGAAACAACTTAGTAGGTGTCCTTAGATAACAAAAATGATCCAGTTTTAATGACTCTGGTCTCTGGTGCTGCAGACTGTCTGTGTTTGTGGAGACAGACAACCCAACCATTTTTGCACCATGCTTTCAGTGTTATAACTATACAAACAAATTCAACAAATGCAACTGAATGGTGTTGTTAACATTATATCTATCCATCAAATAAGTTAAGATCATGATCAAACGAAGAATCCTTCACAAAACAATTTACTTATGACTTTACTCAAGGACCTCAAGAGTCAAATATTTTAGAGACATTACAAACACAAGGACATGTCATTTTTGATTGTATACGAGGATGTAACCTGTAGAACCTAACTGACACAGGGGATTTTTCCTTTGATAATTTTGAATTGGTTTGCTAAATGGTACTTTCAAAAGTGGTTGTATACTTCACTAAATACAAGATGATTCCTACAGCTCTAGGGTGTGTTACACCATACTAGTATTCCCCACTCACCAGCAGGACAAGCCATCATGGGGACTATGCATAGCACTTTAAAATGTATTCTTGTTAAACAAGAAAGAGGGGAATATCTATTGAGAACCCACAGAGTGGAGTGGCTGAGGCTATCTATACCCTAAAGCATTTGACACTGTTAGAAAATTTCCAGAATCCAGTAATTTTGAATTGCTTTTCATCATAGAAATCTGGGCATCTTGAAGTGACAATTTATTTAAGAATTCTATATACTTAAAGATATGAGGACTTAATGATTTATCTATTTAAGGTCACGAATCTAGACTAGTTGTTTCCTCTGTTGGTTGGTTTTCCCATGGTTCTAAGGTTGAAATGTTTCTTGTTTGTAGAGTTAAGATATAAGATTGTAAGTTCCAAGTAATGAGTCTGCTGAATTCCAATTTGAAAACTTGTGTTGTTGGTAATGGCATATGACGGCTCCTGGGTATGAATGTTACATCTTCAATGATATATGGGATACATTGGTGGCTGGGAGAGGCTAGGCTTGTCAAGTTAGGGAGAATCATCTGTGCCATCACGCTGTCTTGTCATACTTCCTGTCTGTGCAGAGGAGGACAAAGAACACTTTGTATTTTTTAAACGGAACAGGAGGAACTGTGACAGCTTCAGCTGGCTGTAAGCTGCATAGATAAATTAGCCCTGACAGACACCAACTTGATCAGCCTAGCTCATTAGAGAATAGAGGTAAACAAGTCCCTGGGTATGATAATGTTAGGTCAGATTCAAACTCAAACAGGGGGCCCCGGCCAATCCCCCTGAATCATGAATGCATCCAGATCATTGGCCAGTGAGCTGAGCAGAGCTAAGATCCCTAACCAATCACATATGTAATTGCAGAAAATTTGAAGCCCCCATAAAAGGAGGCACCCAACAATAAAATTTGTCTCTTGCTGCATGAACTTGGTGTGTTGTTGTCATGTGATTGTCTCCAACATCAGTGACATTAAATCTGCACAGCTTTTGGAGTTATAAAGACCTATATCCTGATGTTTGGGTGAAAAATTAAGTTATTAAAGAATTTAAATAATGCTCAAGTCCCTACAAAATGGACACTGACACATGTTTCTTAAAAGCTAAAAAAAAAGCTATTAATAGCTTAAAAGCTATTACTTTACAGTAAAACTTGGATTAATCTGAACAGTCCCACCAGGAAAATATGTACGTTTAGTAAAAAACAAACAAAAAGGGCAGAATCCTCTGTGCAATTTCAATAGAAGGCTTTGTAGTATTACAGGTCCTTCACAAGGAAATGAAGATGCTTTTTATAAAGCAGCAGTAAGTGTTTCTTCATGCTGAGGGCAAGAGTGAATTAAGAACAAAAAAAACACAGAGTAATTATTTTATTGAAAGGTATAATTGAGAAATAACCTACATAGCCTGTGAACAGCCTAAAGAGTAAATATCACTCCTGTATCTCAATGAAGGTGTTTGCCACCTCAGCCAACAGAACTATCCAGAATGACAGTGAAAGAGGAACTGAATAAATAACTAGTTAAGATGACAATAAAGCAGAAGCCACAGTTGTCATCTGGTGAACATCTCCAAGTAAGGTCCATGAGGAAAAAAAATAAAGAGAATGTGTAGGCAAGGGAAAAATGATGGAGGAATCAGGAGTGGGATATTCTGTTTTCATTACCAGGTTCTCCTTGCAAGTCTTTCATGTGAGTGCATTTCAGGCAGGCAGGGTTACCAGGCAATTTGAAATTTGTGTCTCTGCCCTCATCTTTTCAGCAGTCAGATGCTCATGCGATGCTCAGGCACACTGAGTAATATGCTGGCAGTGAGGAGGGAGTGCAGGGAACGCTGATTTATCTGTGCCTGACCTCCTCTACACCCATCAGCCCCAGCCAGATGAATGAGGGCTGCCCAAGTAATCCTGAAGACTGGAGATAATGGCTTTAATCCTAGTGGTCAAGAGAGCATCCAGGATTAAGCACTGTGGTTCCATTTAATTAATGACAAGTGTATTTTGCTGTATTTTAGGGAAGCTGTCAGTTTGCTGCAATGAAATGAAACGCTGTCTGGGTACCAAGCATAGTTACAAGGTTTACCTCCTGGCTTGGCTTCCTCCTAGAAATTTTACAGCTTCCAGGTGTCATAAAACACATTAAACAGGCCCTCTAAAAGCAATTTAATTTTATTTATGATTATAAAAAACAGAGACATAGTTCTAATGGGAAATTTGAATTATTTAAAGATAGCAAGAGGAAGTATGAACACAACTCCTGCCTACCACTTCCCTTTCACAGAACAAGTAGTTGTTTTTCAGAGAATTAATATTCAGAGCAGGTCCAGTTCATTTTACCTGCTGGGTTCATTTTATTAGATAATAAAATCAGATTTATTCTCATTTGAGTGTATAGTATATAGCCATATAAGCATAAGCCATTTGGAAACAGTTACTTTGCATGTAGCATAATGTAATACCTACTCTCATAGGTATTTCAGAGGAATATCAAACATTACTTGCCAAAGGGCAGAGATAAAAAGAACAGTTTTTGATCTGAACATTGTGCCTGGAGCTGATCACTAGTTACGCTGGTACCTTTTCAGTTCTTTTTTCTGGGGGGGTAAAAAAAAAGAAAAATCTGTCTAGTAAGCTTCTTTAGTGATTTTTTTTCTCAGTCTGTCAAACCTAACTCTCATTTTATATTTTACCTTACAGAATGGTCTTATCATTGCCTGTTACCAAGGTTATGTGGATATTGTAATAGCCTTAGCACAATGCCCTCACCTTGATGTGAACTGGCAGGACAACGAAGGGAACACAGCTCTAATTACAGCTGCACAGGCAGGTAAGGGTCTTTGTATCACCTCTTACATGCAGGGTCTTGGGAAGAGTGTGTGTTTAGGTTACATTTTTTTAGGATTTTTTTTCAAATCCCTGAAAGAAATTATTCTGTGTAAAATAATTCTGGCCAAGCCCACTCCCAATCAGGTTTGTTATGTTTTTCTTTGAACTAATTAATCTACAGTAGTATTTATCCAGTAGATTAGGGCAGCAAAAGCTATACATTTTTAGTAGATATCATTAATTATTTTAACTTAAAAATAAAGAAAATCTCATCCCAAGTGTGCAGTATTATAGTGTTTTGTTCCTTTAAGCTGATTTTCCAATGTTTGCTCTGGCAGCAACAATTGAACACTGTGGCTGTGTAATATGCTTCATTACTGCTTTTCTCCCATGCTTGCTGTACCTATCCCAGAGAGTCTCTAGTAATTGATGACTGTGGGAAACATATCATCATTAAGAAATACCTTAGCTGCTAAAACAGTTTTCATCCATATCATACTTAAAAAGCAAAAAAAACTCAGCAGGATTTAGTATTTGCTAATGATCCTTTTATAACAGTTGATATCTACATCAACAATGTTAATTCTGATGAAGGCTGGAGTGAGAGCAGGTTTTAGCACAAGGTTTTCTTTTATCCCACCCAGCATGGTAATATTCAGTGAATGAGTGTAACAAATCACATAGATGTAAGAGAAACTCTCAGGAGAGCTCCTTATTTCCAGTGTTCAGTTAGAAAACAATCCTTTAATTATTTCTGTTAAAACTGTAGGGCTGTGCTTTACTCTTTAAGGGAAGCCTTAGTTTTCTCAAACAAGTATTAACAAAGTTACATGCTAAAGCATGTAAATCAGGAAAAAATTCTCCAAGGAAGGATGCCAACACTTCGTAATCTAAAAGCTGTTCCAGGGGCCGTCTAGCTCTGCATCCCCAGTTTCCTTTGCATTCTTCAAGCACACTCTGCAAAGGCAGTCACTTTACAAGGAAATGCATAGCTGGTCTTTAGCATATCTGCTGGCTGGTGAAGAGTCTGCGATGTTTGTAGGAGTTCATGGGACATAGTACTTACCCCTGAGCACTGGCTGCTTGAGGGGAACAAATTTCCACCAGGGAATATCATTCAAGCCATTCTAAAGATTGGAGCACTTCGGATTCCATGTCAATTTAGTGCCACTGGACATTTCCAGGTAGTTCCTAACCTTGCTTTGAGTTGCATCAAAAAGTGAACTCTGTGAAAGGTCCTGCAAGATGGGTCTTGAATACTGGAAGTAAAAACTGTGATCACATTAATAGCAATGTCATGAGTACAGTAGCTTTCCAAAGAAGGTGGAAATGTCTCCAAAACACTAATCTACTTCTATTTATCTGCCTTAATGTAAATTTGAACTAAAAAAAGGTTTAATATTGCCTCCTTCTTGACCTTTTTAACTTATGATAATGAGCTCAGAATTAATCCAGTGGGCTGACATTGACTTGACTGTCGCTGCCAGTACTTGCTATTGATCCCAAAAGAAAATGGAAATTACTGTAGTCAACAGAAGTTTATACAAAACCCCAACAACTTGGATGTTTTCCCCTGCCTGTGCTAATCCTGAGCTACAGTGTTTACACCAGTTATTTAATTAATTACCACAAGTTACTGCTGCAGTGTTAATAGAGATTACTGTGAGGCTAACATTGCAACCAGAAGAGTTACAGTGCAAGAGATGCTGCTTAATTATTGCTGGATGTTAAGTAGTAACACTGAGCAGTGTATTATAAAGACCTGAAAGAAAAGCTTATGCAAGCTTGCCTTTAGTGGAGAATTTATTTTTGGGGGGAGGGGTTAACTTTAGGCTGTGACAAGTAATCACATTTTTGCAAAATAAATTATTCTGAGATCACTGTTATTTATACCAAAACTATGGGTTTTCTTCACATTATTTCACATTATTTCAGATATTTTTAAGGTGGTATTTGAAGATTCCAGAGAGTGCTGCCATTTTTGTTATTATCCACTACCAAGTGGGCCATCATTTATGACCAGACCCCAAACAGGAGCTATATGGGAAAAAAAGGTGTGGTCCTGAGGAATTGTCCTGTGTGTTTCAGAGTATGCATCTATATTATGAGGTATACATACCAAAAGAGATGACAGAGAGGTCTCTTCACTTGTGCTGAACAGTGTAAAATCCATACTTGCCTATGTCATTTCACGACTGCCCAGACATGATGCTCAAATATGAGCATCAGCTTGAATTAAATGGGATTAAATTAGAGAGCAGGTAGAGTCTCAGAACATGAGTGAATTCAGTTGTATTGCTTTGTATTCCTTTTGATAATTTGATATTCTCCTCCTCCAACAAAAGTAGCTAAGGCTGAAGTTTTCTGCATGGGCTGACCGGAGAAAGACAGATTGAAAGGATCAGTGGAAAGCAGTACTGTCTTAACAAGCTTATTAGTATAGAAAAATAACCACAAAGTCCTCTGCTTTGTGTGTAAATTTCAGAACTGAAAATTTGTCTGTTCACCTGCTTTCTCAATATTTCCTATTTCTTATATCCCTTTTCAAAGAAATCTTGCCTTCCAGAATTGTAAATGCATTGCAGTCTGCAGCAGGTGGTGCCCAGAAATCTGTCGTGAAGCTATTGAAGCCGAAAGAAAATCATTAAACATCCTTACAAGGACAACGCAGAAAAAATAGGAGATTGATACAAACAAGCTATTTAAATAACAAGCAGAAAGAAAGGGAGGAAGGAGAGTGATTAAAAAAAGAAAAATAAGGAAAATTACTTTTTTTTCCTCAGTTCTGCTGCTGATAGGGATGTAGCTACATCAGTGTATAGTAATTGGTATGCACTGGTCTTAAGAGGGAGTTGTATTTGCTTACAAAGTATAGATGTTTTATGTTACAGCCACCAACTTGGGGCAAGACTGTAGAGCTAGGAACACAAAATTGTAAGTTATCCCAGTTTCTGTTTATTAAGAAAGACATGAGAACACAAACACCTAAAACACCCAGAGGATAAAGCCTTCTGGGTGTCCTTGGTTCCATCCATCTGTGAGAAAGCATTCACTACCTGCAGGCCAAACTCAAGTGTTTTGCAGGTACAATTCAGGAGTGAAATGTTATTTGACAAAGAGTCTTCTTTACTATGCAGCTTATCCTTGTGCCTGTATTACACAGATTATTAGGCAATATTGTCATCATTATAGATTTTTCCTTTGTGGCAGCAATTAAGTGAATTAAGCTATTATGGACATCTGTGCTGATCTCTAAATATGGCTCACATGGAGAAGAAGTCAACCCTTAGTGCGCCAGTTCTGGTAGGAAGTAGATCTGGCTTACAATCAGCAAGAGCCTGCTTTGAATTCAGTGTCATCAAACAGGCTGAGCCCAGGCTCATTTATTTTAGAGCTGCATATGGCTTTCATAGCAGACTTTACATCACATGAGGTTCACCCAGTTTACAATTTAGGTAAAGGCTGATTGTTCACTCAGACACACGAGAACCAAAGCAAACTTCATGGCATTAAATCAAAAGCATAGGACAGGGTTTGAACTAAAACTTGGCAGCTCTGAGTTTTGCTTTGGATTTGATATCTGTTTGAATTGTATTTTTTTTTTTTCTGTCTCATTTGAAGCCATTTCTAGTCCCCTGCAGAGTTTTGGTTAAGCAAGGTCTTTCAGGATTAATTCTTAGGATCACCCCAGATTTGCAAAGCACCTCTTACTGTAATTATACTTTTGGCAAAGTGTAGAACATCTTTAGTGATGTAATAACTGCTGGAAAATCTTCCATCTTATTATTTCTACTTGTTTCAGTTTGTCCCTGGTTTTTGTGGTCAAAAAGCAGGATTTCAACTGCTCCAAAACCTTCATGAAGACACATGTTCCACATCACTGAAGCAGAGCATGTCCTGCAAAACAATTTGGGCACAAAGATTCTCCCAGTAGCAACTGATTCATTGCCAGGATTTGATTTTATGCCATAGAATCAGTAAAGCTGAAACCCCTGTATTGAGTAAGCAGGACCAGGTCACTTGATCCTGCCCTGAACCCAGTTCACTTTTGCTTTGTTCAGCTTGTGGTTTGCTGAATCTTTATATTTCATTCTCATTGGACTGCACAACATACAGGGGACTTTTTATTTGGTTTTCTCTGGCTGTGGAGTTGCTCATCTGATATGCATTATCTTTACATCTCCTCAGATTTCATGAGAGTCTCCGGTTATGCAGAAAGGTAAAAAAGTAAAAAAATTTATAGGAGAGAAAAAGTAACACCTGCAACACAAATTAATTGGTAAAGACTTTCTTAACTTGGTTTTCCAAGTGAATGGAGGACTGTGTTGGTACGAAGTGACTGCTGATGAAATCCACACCAGATGTGATGCTATAGACTTTTATAACTGTCCTGTATGAATTATAATCTGCTTCAGTAACATTTCTAGATGCATTTGAATGACATGCATTACAGAATAGTCATCTGGTCTGCAGAGCGAGATGAGAGAATATTTTTACAGCTCCTACTAATTAAATTGTGATTGTTGCAGCTACCTGACAGATGGCATTATATTACAGAGCATCAAAGCATCATAAAATGATTGACAAGTGAAGGGAAAACTGTTTTGATTGAGTCATAACGGCACTAGCTATTCATCTGATAGTCCAATTATAAAGATTTGATGTCTTAATTGGTCTTCCAACCATTTAGCCAGAGATGTGTTTAGCTCCTCAGTATAGCCTTGTAGACACCAGTTATCCTGACATACAAGGCACATGAATGGCAACAACAGTTGCTTTTTGGAGCAGAACTTAAATAATTTTACTACCAAAACTGAACTTCAATCTGACTTTTCAACTGCAGGAGAGTAGAGAAGTGGCTTTACACTGTCAGATGGAAAAATAAAAATGTGAGATCCTACACAAAATATTGCTTTCTCTTGTATCAGACCTGGCATGGTTTGATAGCATTATTGTCTGGAACAACTATGTGCAGTCATCACTTTTTAATGAAGCACCATGATTGTAAGGCTCAAATTTACCAGGGGAGGGAAAAAGATGAACCTTTGCAATCAGTTACCCCTGTGGTGGGCCTTCCTTCCATAAGTTGTAGTGCTACTCACTGGGTAAAGAAACTGAGGCCCCAGTTTCTGAGGCCCATCCTCAGAGTGACTATTTCTGATCTTCAGTTATTCCCTTACCTTAAACTGACTTTTCAGAAAGGAGAGAAATTTGAGAGAAGGTGGGAACCCCGATTTTCTACCTCCTATCCCAATATTCTGGTCACAAGTCAGACCCTTAACCCTATGGCTGATGACTGCAATGAGTGGAAGAGGACACAAAGAAAAGAGATCTTACTTAACTATATGCATTTTCCAGTTATTAGATAGACCCGCAGGAGTAAATTTTTGGTTTATCCCTGAGACAGCACCTGCATTGTGTGACATATTTTCTCTGCTTTTTTGTTTCTTTAAAGGGCACATAACCATTACAAACTATTTGTTGAACTATTTTCCTGGGCTTGATATTGAGAAGAGAAATGCATTTGGATTCACAGCACTGATGAAATCTGCAATGCAGGGTCGAACAGAATGTGTGAAAGCCTTGATGATGGCAGGTATGCAAAGTACTTTTCTTCTTCTTTGCCACCATCTAACAACTACCAAGAAAAAAACTGGCTCTTGGGATGTTTGCTCTGAGAACTGTCATACAGCCTTCCCTGGAAGTGGGTGCAGCTTTTAAATAAGCCACAGTGAAGGCAGTGAAGGCATGTGCTGTAGGAGCATTCAGTTTGTTTGTACAAACTTACCCATGAGCTCTTCTAGAGCTCTGAGGGTGAGACTGATTGTCTCCAAGAGAGTCTGGGGAGCAGGATCATCAAAATTTGTAGAAGGGGAGTTAATGAAATCCATGACACAGGTGGGAAAGACATGCAGGTCGCTTGCTGCCTTCTCTGTGTGTGACAGTGCAAGGGTGAGACCACAGCCAGACCTCCATTTCTGCCTTGAACTGTGGTGGGGACTAAAAAGCTTTGGGGGCTCCAGCTCCTGTCAGGAGAGTTGGGTGTAGGGGCCACTGGTGGGAAATTTGGTGACTTATTTTTTTTGTTAATGCCTCTACAGCTCTCAGTTTGGTTTCCAGGTTTATGAGCAACTGGGCACCATCAGGTCTGTGTCTGCTGTGAGGAGGGAGCTATGACACAGGGAGTGAACAGATCTCTCTCTGCCCACCTGTCTCTCTTGACATCTGAGAACAGGAATTATGTTTCTTGCTCTTGACTCTTGTGTGCTGAATTTCCAGCTGTATTGCATTGCAAGGTGAAGGGGGTCCTGGAGAGGAGACTCAGAAGGCCCCTTGAGGGGCAACAGCCTCTACAAGAGCAGTCCTAACATACAGCGTTTTTCAGCCACAATACTGTATGGGTTTTTTATATTAAGTGTTTGGTATTTAAAATGTTAGAAAATAATTAAATAACTAGGTTATATTAGTATATATTTATGTTTTTTCAGCAGCAAATATATAACACAAATTAAATATTGTGAAAATAATAACAAATGGTGTGTGAATATTGTTACTAGCTAGATCAAGAGTCCTACAGGTCCATTTCATTGAGAGAGATCTTGAATAAGGAGTCCATTGCAGTGATTTTATTGTCACAAGAGTGTAATCCCTCATAATCAAAATATTTTAAATTGCATGATTTTATCAAGCATAGTGATATTACTATCCTTTATTTCATAATATCCAGTTTCTAGACATAGACAGGGCACAGAAAACATAATGTGGTAACTGCTGTATTATTTTCTGCTAAGTTCTGTAGCCTCTTACTCTGGAACAAAGGATTAGGAATTTGTCGTGGTTTTAAACCAGTAACTAAAAAATTACTTATTTCTTGCTGTGAGATATGGATTAGAGCAAGAGCAAAACAGGCTTAAAACTTAAAAAGGAATAAAGAAAGTTTATTAACAAACTACAAGAATAAGAACACCAGAACAAACTTCCAGAAAACCTTTTTTATCCCCCACTACCCACCATTCCTTTGTTCACAGGACAACATAGAGACAAAAACTTTGGAACTTTGGTGTTTAAAACAGTCCCAATTCCTGCTACAGTCTTTTCATCAGTCTTTGTAGAGAAACAGAAGTTTTCTTCTGCTAATTTATGGAGTTTTCCACAAGAAAGCTATTTCTTGCTATAGCTTTCTATTTTCCTGATGCCAGCTGCCTGGAAATCTGTCCTCAGAGTTTACTCCTCCCATTTTACATCACTCTGAGGTGTGCATGGGCCATGAGTCTAGGGATGTCATTTTAAGGATGAGTTATTCAAAGGCAAAAGTTCTCTTCATCTGTCTTTGTGAGCTCCACTAGAAAACAGTTTTCTCATTGCCCCCCAAGGCTTCAAATTTTCGCTTCACTCTGTTCCAGCACTTCACTGTATCACAATTACTCTACTTTTTACTCAAAATCTACACTTTGAACACTCTATTCCTCCCTATATACTCTGTCATGAATTAAAGGAGTTTTTTCAAGACCTTGTTGTCCATCTCCATAGCTTTAACAGAAAATTATTTCAGCTTATAAAGCATCTCCTTATTCTCTACCTTTTCTGAAGCTTCTTTTCTTTACTGTCTCTGATGGTTTATAAAGTCTCTTTACATGTTGATTACTCTCTTTTTCTTTCTCTGGAAAAAAGGATTAATCTGCAAGTCTCATCTGGGTAATGAAAAGGTTAAAATCTTGCCCGGGCTTTGTAGATGGTTCTGTGATCTCTGCCAGAGCAGCAGCTGGAGCTGTCTGCGATGGAAGATTCTTCATGGCTGCTCTGGAGAGTGTCACTGTCTCAGCCTGCCGCAGGTCAAGAGCTTTTTTTCTTTCCTTAGTTGGCAGTCTCTGGTGAATTCAGTCACAGCAAAAACTGCAGCCGAGCCAGGGAGCGGCCTGGCCCGGCCAGAGCACAGGGCAAGCCCTGCAGGCCCCATCTCCCGGCCAGGAGCCGCTGGGCCCAGCCCAGCCCCTGCCTGAGCCACGTGGCCTGGGCAGAGAACAGGAGGCCAGCCGGAGCTCTGTTACCTTTCACAGCCAGAAAACAAAGAGAACAAGAGAGCTCTGGCTTTACATCTTAAGGTAGGGTTCACAAGTTGATCTCACTTTTCAATGGTCAAAACTGCTGTCAATTCTTATAAATGACTGATAATTGGTCAGGAGGAAAGACTCTCATCAGCCACCAGCAGTTTCAACTTCTTTATCTCCCAAGGCTGTCTTAAAGGTAAAGCCACCCCATGACAGAATTGGATCACACATTTATATTTTTATGACAAAAAGTTATGAAACTACTGTGGGAGCTTAAACACTGCTAGAAACAGATGCACCTTCTAGACTCATACATACTTCAGATGCAGATGTTATTCCAAAATTTTCCAGTGAGTGTTATAAATCGTCACTTAAAATGAAACTTCAATCCTATGATTTTCTGACTTATCAAATTAGCCTTATGGTATCATGACCTATTATTATCACTAGAGATCGGAGGGAAGCTTGCTCTTTCTGTTTGGGTCACTAGAAGCTGTTTCACAACCTTTCAGCTATTTAAATAACTCAGCATTTGTTATTCTGATTCTTATACTAAAAGTGTCATTATCAAAGTTCACTGCTGTGGTTGCTGCCTCAGGCATCTGAATAGCTATTTCTTGTTTCCATGATTCATAAGAAAACAAAATATTGAAAAGAACAAACCTTTAGATAGCCAGAAGATTACTTTTTAAGCCTCCATCTTGAGTTTGCCTACAGCAAGTTTTATCAACCTATTTCTGCATCAGAAATAGTGAGGATACCAAAGATCATCCACCAACTAAAGATCTGATGAGTTAATATAATTTTGATTTTCTAAACTGCAGTTTCAGTGAGTACTTGCAGATCCTCACATTTTCAGCTCAAAATAGGGGCCACAAAGGAAGTGTAGTAAATTGCCTGCACCCATTTTAATATCTGAGTATTTTTTAGCACTGCACAGTCTGGTGAAATGGAGGGAGGGAAGGAGGGAAATGCTCATTCAGAATGGATTTAGAAGTAGTTTTGGGACTTAAGGGACACTGAGTGGTTGCTGACAATGAAGTACTAGTGAGCTGAAATAGGTAAAAGGAGTTATTAAATGATTTGGTGAAAAAATCAATTTCACAAATAAAGCAGCAAAATTTGATATTAAAATGTAAAAATGTATGTCAACATAGAAGAGAAACACCCATAATCAGCTGTGGGTCTACTTGCACAGCTACAAAGCAGTTATATGTATTTAGAAAAGAGTTACAGCCAGGAGGTTTTTAAACCCAGTATCTGTTCAGTGGCCTGGAAAAGACCTCTGCTGATGGCCGGCTACTTATGGCAACGCAGGAGGTCAGCAAAGCAGAATAACTTGCCTTCCTGGCTGCCTTAGCATGGATTCAGCACAGTCAGATGAGGAAAGAGGTAACAGCAATGTGTGACAGATGGTTGGAGCTGGATTGCCAAAGTGTCTGCTCCTCCTGAAATTTGAGTTTGTGGAGTGGGCCAAGGTCAATCACTACATGATTAAGGTACTCTAAGACACTTGGCCATAGTGCTGCTCTTTCAGAGGGAGTCTTTGGAACATGTGAATTTGCTTTTCGTGAGAGCAGAGCAGGTGAAGGGGGACCCGGTCTCCCACTGGCAGTTTGTCACAGGCTGCTGTGCTGCCAGCACCGCACCGCTGCCAGTGCTTATCAGGAGAGCAAGCTAGATATTCTGGTTGTTGTTCTTGTGTCATGCCCTGCTGTAATCTCCAGTCTAGTCTCGGTGCTGTTTTAGTAATGTTGTCGGAGTGGCCCTGGGTCTGGAGACTGGGATTTAAACACCACCCATAAAATGGACTGGTAACAGATGTCTGAGCCTCCTCAGCCCCTCTCTTTAAACTCAAGATGCCAGTTCTGCATCTCAAAAGGACATGAAGTCTTAATAAAACAGGATATTTATATAGTAAAGGAGCATGTGTATTCAAATTAATTGTGCTGACAATGAACTTCAGGGAAACGTCTAGGGAAAGCAAGGCAAGTGGCAAGTGCAGCATTCCTGAAAGAAAACTAGTAGGCTATAGTTACACTGAAATGACAACTTGTTCAATAAGCCTGCTATCACATTTACAAAGGGACATGACTACTCATGTATATTCCAGATAAGGCATTCTGCTGAATTTCAAGTTTGTTCAGGAATGTCTCCTGAAGAAAATCAATAAAACTATGGTAAGTCATGCCTTAGAGGAGATTTTGTGATACAAGGTACAAGGTCAGCATCGATTTCTCTTGAAAGGTTGAGATTTCTATACTCTGTAGTATTGTTTTCTGAGATAGAGTTTCCAAAACACCTGGGGATCCATCTGTCATCACATCAAAGGGAGGTGAGCCAAGGGTGGCAGCAAGGCCTCAGCACCAGTCTCATCAACAAAAGTGCTCCTTTAAGGAACATGGCAGGGCTGGTGACAGTAACCTAGATCAGGCAGCACTACAGTGATTGCCAGGCAAGTCTATGATGACAAGGGCAAGTTCACAGAGACAAGGTAAGTCTGAGGTCAAACAAGAAATGAAGTCTGTGGGTCATGGTCCAGACCAACACGGTACATGGCCAGGAACAGGCATAGCCCAGACAAGAACCAGAGCTGAGTGCAGCCCCCAAGCAAAGGTGGGGAGCCTCCAGTGAGCACTTTCTCAGGCTTCTTTTTGAACTACTCTTCTCCAAATTCTCACAGCTGCACCATATCAGAACTGGAATGACTTTTTCTTGAAGATAATGATAAACAGCTGTATAAACCTCTTGTTTGTTTACAAGCTGAGAATTAAATTTTTTATTTGAAGATAATTCCTTTGGCTGCTGTTCTTCTTGTATTAATTCCTTGCCTGTTACATGTACATTAAGGAAGCAACTTCCACATAATTTGCCACAGTCACAGTCAGCTCTTTTGGGAAGGAGTTCAGACTCAGGCAAGTGTTAAGAAGAGACCAGGGAAAGAGGCTAGCCTGAGACAAAAGAGACTCAAACATAGGAAGTTTGGATAGGGAGGTTCAAAAACAGGTTAATGAAGAAAGAGGGCATGTGTTGGTATGTCTTTTTCCCTCCCCTCACCAATTTATAATTTCTGCGGTCATGAACTTCATCAAACCCTTCTGCCTCTGAGATCTTGTAATCCTTTCTTCAAATCCACAGCTTGTGAACTCTTTGACTCTTCCTCTTCTTTGGCTCCTTTCTGCCTTCCAATCCAGGGCCCATGCTTGAGTCCCTGCAGTGCCCTGGTGCTCTCTCTCTGAGTGGTCCTTTCTGCAAATTTCACTTAACTTAAACTGTGATCAGCAATTTTGCTTAGGGTGTCTCTTTCTACATCCTCTCTTAAGGGATTTTCTCAGACTTAGGAATTAACTTAATAGAGTTAAAGGTAAAATTTTTATTACTTTCCTTGTGCTCTCTTTTTATCTTTATTTTCCTGTAATGACAAAACATCCTTTGTGGGAAAGGTTGTACTGAACGCACCACAAACTGGTTTGTCCTTCCTTATGTCAAGTCCTTTTTACTCTAGTTTTAAATGCTATCTCCAAGGTAATCTACCCTGAAAAAAAAATTATCATGATGTTCTCTGGTCTTTTTCTCAGGTCTCTGTACCTCTCTTTCTTGCAAAGCAATGGAACAGACTGTCATTTTTGTGACAGGATCTGTGTAGGTCAGTTTTGTGTTGGTTGTTTGAAAATGGTCCTTCATCTGGTAAAGAAGCTCTTCAATAAATCAAATGGTTTTTTGTATCCCAGTTTTAAACCCTTTCAAGAAATCCAGAAAATATCTGCAGGGCCAGAGATATACCATGACTGAATTTTGCAGAGCTCAGTATGTTGAAGGCAGGTGGGCAAAGTTACCATGCCTGTCCCAGGGAATGTGGTATAGATCTGCTGAACAGTCTTCAGACTGGAACATGCAAAGCTCCCTCTGAGATCAAAGTTCAAAGGCAGAATATAAATTCTTCAGTTTAAGAACCTGTCTGTCTGAACCAGAGAGTATTCCCTCATTTTCCTACTGATTTAATTCATTTACATTCATACCCATATACTGTAAAACATCAAGATGTGTGTACACTGGTGGTGTGCCCAGGATCACTTGGATGTGAAGTACGGGATATGGTTCCAATTGTCAAGTACTTGGCATGTCTCTGAGATTCTTTGTAATTGGTGCCATCAAGCCAGATTTTGGACAGGTCTTTTGTATCCTTTAGCATTTACCAGCTACAGTCTGCTGGGTATTTGCAACAGTGTCCTGCTATTTTCCGCTTCCAAAACCTCTTGCTGCTGTTCATTGTTCTGCAGCAATTCCTCCACAGGTGCACCTTGAATTAGCTTCCTGTGTCCTTTATAGACATCTTCTCTGTGAGCACGATTGGGCACATGCCACCCTCATTAACAAATGCCTACAGTCCCACCCTAATATCATGGGAGGACTTCCCTGCAATTTTCTGGTTTCCAAGGAATGTGGATACTGTACTAAAGAAGTTGTAAAAGATACCATAGGGCAGACTAGGACTCCTGCTTCTCCTGTTACTCTTGTATCCTCTCTTCAAGTGTCCAAGTGGAGAAGAAGTGGAGGAGAAGAAGTGTCCATGGAGGAGAAGAGTGAAAACAAAAAAAGTGAAGAACACTTTTGAAAAAAAAGCATGAAGAACAAGGGCAAAAGCCTATGTGTGGGATCTAATAAGAAGATAGAGAGATCAAAAAGAATGCAAAGATGGAAAAGGATGCAGAAATATATGAAAAAAAAGAATGGGGATGGACACAGATGTCAGAACTGGAGAGATAAATATCATAAACTGGGAATGGGAGGAGGATAGGCCACTAGAAATAATTTCCTTCCAGGACATGAAACTTTAAATGTCTAAGTTTCTGCTCTGTAGCCTGTATCCCAGCTGCCTCTTATGGCTGGTCTACTTGGCAATAACAGAGTGTTTTGGCAAACAATTACTTCATTTCCTTAGGGCTAGTAGTCTCAGGTAGATGAGAATAGCTGTTCCGGGCTCAGACTGAAGGTCCGTCTCACCTATTATCCACTCTTCGACATTTATGGAAACTTTCCTTGTATTTGATCATCCTTGTTACCATCTTCTCAACATTTCCTAATTCTATGGAGTCCTTTCAGACATAAGAGAGCATGAATTGCACATTTTTTCACATTTTTTTGTTTTTCTATTTCCCCTTTTTTTACTTTCTTCTCCCCCCCCCCCCCCCCC